AGCAAGAATTCTGAAGAAAAAACGTCTATGAAGCTTTGTGCAAGAGAACACGCCACCGTGTTTGGCAATGACAAAAGACTTGTAACAAATATTGTGAACTGTTAGAGTGCAGAGGGTAATGATCAATCGTTTCGATGTTATGGGCTATGCGAACGTTACCAGACAATGTTTATCTTGAATCTGATCAAAGAATCCCCTGGTATGACTAGGCTAGCCAAGAATGGCCAGACAACAAGGGCGCTTAGGATGTCTCTTTCACCGTAGCAAAATGTATTCCAGCCCGCAGTGTCAATTCGACCATGAAGATCAGACCAAGCAGCACATTATTCCGAATGCCCGTTGTTAAACTTAGACAGCAGATCTGCCCGTTGTCTAAAATGGTACTGCGGAGGCCAGTAGCTTATAAACCTGCGCATTAAAATATAAGTTTGTTATAGCCACCTCCTACAGCCACACGACAGAAGATTGGTTGATCAACTTGAAAAGGAAAATGAAAAGTAGATGCATAGGCAGGTGTCTAAACGATTCATGGTTCAGGGCACCAGATACAACAGATGATACAACAGCTTATTGCTGATAAGTTTCGCTACGTAGACCGCAGCATCAACGGGGCTAGGCTAAGTACAAATCAAAAAGTACAAAACAAAAAGTGTTGTACTTAACCATGAATCATTCAAACAACTATCTTTTTAAGTACGGGCCAAAAATCAAAAACCCAGAACCAAAAATTAAAAGTATTATTGAAAATGAAAAGTGTTTCGTCATTGAACTACAAAAGAGTGGTATCAAATCCAAGGGCGGGGAAAAACTATTTTTGCAACTGAACTGAACAAGAAATGCATCCGCTACGCTTCAATGCAACCAGGGGATAAACTTGTAGCAAATAGCTGTGAGCAATTTTCATAGCAACATATTTCTATCAGTCTTTTGTCTCACTCTATGTCCTATTATCAAAAAACCTAACTTGATCCGTTCTCGACACCATGAACATCTCTTTCTTTCCTTGATAATAATCTACAGGTTTACAGAAGTTCTGAGGTTTTTACTACCCGTACTTGGTCGTCTATCGAGATGCTAATATATTTCTTTGCCTGTAGACAATATTTCGGCATTTTCCTCGTGACTCTAACTTCCAGTCTCGAACGGACTTCTTTAAAATGACGCTGTAAGCTTTTATTAAATCATTTGGGACAATCAAATATGCCGATGCCATAGACAAATAACAAGTTACCAACTGCGCCGTCTAAAGTGAATTTTCTCCTCCTTCACGTACCTCGCTGAATCATTCTTTCGCAATTCTCCACATTCTTACAGAGCATAAAGCTGACACTTTCTGTCCCCATACTTCTGAATAGTGGAAAACATTTTTCACATTTATATTACCTAATGAACGCTGACAAACAAAATCATTTGTTTTCTTCTGTGCAAAAATGTTGCCCCATGTCGTCATTCCTCTGTAAAGAGTATGACATTTATCGTTATTATTAGTGTTATAATATAACATCAGCAGAATAATATAAAAACAACAGAAAACTAATCCTATTATACGCATCGGTGATAGATCGATACCTAGTAGGCATCGGGCTGAAATCGATACACCATTATACTAAACTGGGTACAACGAAACTTGTTACTGCACTGTTTTCTCAGCATGACCGCTGACGTTAAGGACAGAAATACTCCATTTCTGGATCTGAAGCGTAGATATGACAAAAGACAAATGTTAATCTCCTGTTCAGAGAGTGGTAAGCATTTCACACAAGTTTGGACAGCGCTGTCTGACTGGTTAGATTTCAAACATTCATTTTAAAAAAAGTTTGATTCAATTCCTGATACAACAGATCAAGTATCGAAACGCCAGATCATTCACCGATACTCAAAGAATACTCAATACACTGAAAATAATTTACATTCTTTCCTTTGGCATTAGTAATAATGCTCAAGCCCAAGTCCCCTTCAATCTAAGTTGATAATCAGAGTGACCTTCTTCTACATGCAGATGTGAAATTCATAAAATATAAACAACATACTTTCGTTCATATTTTACATTTTGTTCAAAACAGATCTCAGACTAAATTGTATTATTTCATGTTTTAAAAAATGGAGAAATTGAACATACAGGCAGCAAGAGATGGATCGAAATGTCGAATCTTGTTTTCAATATCGTTCCTCTGACGGGAGAAGTTGCACAGAAACAAAACACATAAGAAGGCCGTAACCACGGTAGTTTTCATTGAAAGAGCCATCACCTAACGAAACGATTAATTTCCAGCACATTTTCTGACTTAAACATGAAATAAATAAAAGTTCACTTTAAGCTCTGACACGGCGTATCAACGTTCACCTGGTAAAACGTAACTGAAGATCCGCCACTGCCTACCTACAAGATGACCAGTAAATTTGAAAATCAAGTAAAAAACAACAGCGATTGTTAGTTAAAAGACAAATCATGTAAAATATACGGACTGTCAACAGTTCTACGAGTCGTAAATAATAAGATCTGTAAGTAAATATCTTCCCGGTAAAATCATTCTCTTTATGAAAGAACAACGATGCGATGAAGAACTTCGGATCGAAATTTAAAAGAAAGGATCAACAGTCTTACAGATGGTGCACACCACTCTGAGATGCAGTTGACAGATAGAGATTTACCAATGACCTAACGCGTTTCAGAATAAGAGTGCATTACATACAAACGACCAAATCATTTTGCATAGGTTAAGAGTGTTGCTTAAACATAAAAAAACAAACGTCATTTTTTCAGCGGAAAATTAAACAAGGAGTAACGAAAGAAGTGGCGTACGAGATTTCGCTGCTTGCGCGTAAAATTGCAGATGTGGGGCTACAAGTCGATCCGACGAAGACAAAGGTAATGAGAGCAGTAGCTGCCACCGACGCCAATGAGATTCAGTGGAATGACTCAATTCTGTAAAACTTAAGTCGACCACTTTAAATATCGTATAATATCGTAACCGTGGCTAACAATCGAAGCTGAAACCCACGCAACACCATGTCCATAGAGTTAGCAGCAGCGACTGTTCGAAAGCTGCAGGGAATATGGAAAGACAGAACGGCAGGTCAGTGAAGAAGAAGGTAGCTTACCGTCTCGAAAGCAATGGTCTTTTCCATACTCATGTACGGCCTAGATACATCTGCAGTCTTAAGACTTAAAGAAGGTCAACTGGACCGGTTCCAACGTCGATGCCTTTGAAACATTCTCAACGCTCGGTGGTACCACCGAATATCGAACATTTCGGAAAACCCCCGAATGAAGAACATTTCGGAAAAGCTACAGAATCGATGAGTTTCGTGGTTCGATAAAATGGCTTAAAACAACGAAGACGTCGAAAAGACTTTGTTGTTCTTATGGGCCACGTCTGAAGAAAAACCGGCTTCCAGTTCAAAAGCTGGCATAACCTAGCAGAAGCAGATCGGCTCGAGACAAGAGGTATCTACTTGGTCGAAACTGAAATGCTGTAATTATTAAATTATTATTATTTCTTGCATGTCGGACATCATAAATTCATAGTTACGTGAGCCCTTATAGCTCCATGACACCGGATGACGATGATAACCACCGATCAAGGAACTATTCGCGAAATCAGCCATACAATATAAAATATTCAGGTAGAACTCGTAGAAGTAAAAATAGACAATTAACTAAACATACAAGAATACAAAAGAAAATGGCAACAAAATCGGGCAGTTCTTGCACTTTACACATGAGTTCCATTTAATGACATCTGGTTATTCGAGGATTTACGCTAAAAACGGGACTTAACTGAAATTCAGAGAGATCTATTTGTACACACCTACTATGTATTCATATGGACACGATATCATTAATCTATAAAACTGTGCCTCTGAGGCTTTGTCAACCTTCGATTACGACGACAGGGTTCCAAGGAAAAGGATATATAATAGATTGCAAAGCAGTGTTTTCAGCAATGCGTAGCAATGGATGAAGCTTAATTTTCCACTGCTCGAACAACCGATTTCAAGAATTAAGAATTTTACTTTTCAACATGATTAAATCTAAAGGTGATAAGTTTGCTCAAGCGGATGATTGGAGGCAAAAACTTAAACACAACGACTTAAGCCGGTGAAGCAAAGAAGCAAAAGCACTTAAAAATAAACGAAAAATATGTTTAAACGGGAGTAAACAAGGACACTGAATCTTTAAAGAAACTGATCATACATAAACTACATACACGAAGTAAACATATCTACATAAATTCAACATTTCAGAGGATTTTTAAATTTTTATACAGTAAATATTTAACGTGAGAATCAAATTGAATATACGATAAATGTTTAAAGCTATCCTGTGCCCGGAAAAGATGCAAGCGTTCGGAGAAGGTATTGCTGAAATGCATGGCTGAAGACTGTTTAGAATTGCTTCATTCTAGGTCTGTGATAAAATGCTTTATTCGTTTAATTTTAAATTTGAGTGTTGAACTTGAAGGCGGTGTTAATCGAAAGAAATTTCCAGCAATGATAACTACGAAGTTACGTAAACTTTTTGAATCTTTGAAGAACCACAAGAAAAAGTCGCTCGCTGGAGCTGCTGTTGCTCTGTTAGGATTCGGTCTGCTTCGAAAGCGTGAACGGTAAGTGGCAATATTAAAATTAATGATACCGGATTTTAACAGTGAACACTTACCGTGTGAAGAAAGAAGAATTCATTTCTTAATCCTTTTTGGTTTTTGATACCGGATTAGTATCGATAAATAGCAGTATACTAGTAAATCCATGAGATCGGGTTTTATTTTTATGCGTAAATTCATTTCTAGTTTACACCGGTACTACGATTGTGTGAGACAGATGGAAGTCTTACACCTAATAGTACGAAAATTTTTTTAAACGACAATATTTTATAGTTTTACCAAAGTCGATATTTCAGTTGCTAGTGTTGGTTGCTTTTTGTTTAATACGCTTTTTCGTTTATACATTATGTGGCTTGCTCCGTAAATCGACCTTTAGTTTGTTCGTTGTTTTCTCTGTCATCGCCATGATCTCCAGATGCTTTACTCCGCATATAACTTCTGTTAAATAAAGCCCCGACATATCTAATCGAATAACTGAGAATGAGAAAATGGACATATGCAAATTGAGCTGGCTCAAATTCGCAGCCACTGGCTGCGCGGAAACGCCATTCACGCAGTTGACCGATGTCATTGTTTTTCTATACTTAAAGCATGGCCATATTGTTTCTGACTATTTTGCTTGCTTATAATTTATCATCTCGTATATCATTTGTGTAAGCGTCGTAGTTGTTTTCATTTTTAGGGAACGCTGCCTTTTTGCGGAGTTCTGCGAAGAAGCCCTGGTATAATTGCTCAAGATCAGCACAAACATTCATTACTTTTTTGTTGTATTTTTTTTGTTTTCAGAAATACGGGCATTTATCTGCAGGCGTTTTGGAGTCACCAAAGCGCGTGTTGGTTTTGATGAATGATCAGGCAAACGACGGGTAATGACTTAATGGTATTGAACGCCACTGACACCTGTGACGACGTTCTTTCGTAGGAAGTCAAAAGTCAATTTCGAGAGATACTCACTACCTCTGCTGCATCTGGCCGGATATGACGTCAACGTTATTAGAGTACGGCAGTAAGCTTTGCCGATAGCTAATAGTTGAAGTTCACAGCTTTCTGCTTAGATGAGGCGAGCAAAGAATCCTGCTTTGCAGCGTAAGCAAATTAAAAACCGAAC